TGTTAATAATGTGTTTTGATATTCAAACTAATTATATTTGTAGTTCCTAGTGGTTGGCCTTCATCAATTCAAGTATTACAAGTTAATTCTACAGTTAATAGACTCACTTGGAATGAGGTCAATTGTTCTGAGCGTAATGGTCTAATCACAGGCTATACAGTGATTATCAGTAACAGTAGTATCACATACAACCTCACCAGTACTGAGAGATATATCGTATTGAATGATCTAGTATTTGGTACTGAGTATAACATCAGTTTAGCTGCTATCAATTCTGTTGGAAGAGGTCCCTTCAGTGATCCTATTGAAGTAGAGATTGGAATAGGTATGTAATTATTATACTACATCAGTTTTGTGAGAATATGTTTTTATTTAGTACCTGGTCCAGTTGGTTCAGTATCCAGTATCATGGACACTACATGGGCTGTTATCTCATGGAGTGTACCTAGTTATATTCCATCAGACTATCCCATTATCACATATGAGATAGGATATCATATTCTTTTTGACAAGTGTTGCTGTTCAACAATAGATAATGATGACATTGATATTCAAAAGCTAAAGCTTTCTAATTCAACTAATGGCAATGCATTTATCAACATTACTGGTCTTGATGCTATGTCTTGTTATATTTTTGGTGTACGTGCATACACAGACAGAGGACCTGGTGGATGGGTCTTTATTGCTAATGAGACATTGATCAGTACTCAATTTGTGACACTAACACTAGTAACTACTCAAGAAGTAGGGTCAACTAATACTGGTATAATAACAATAAATGTGCTAAAAGTAAGACAAAAATAATTTCATATTTTTATTAATAGTATCAGGAGCTGTTGATGGTGCTAGTATTGGACTGGGTGCAGTGGTTGGATTATTAACAATATCACTAGTTGTTAGCATCATTATTCACATCTACTGCTTTATCAAGTATGAATACATTAACAATCATAAAAACAATAGTTATATAATGTTGTTTATGTACAGGCTTAAAACCTATGATGCAATTACTGCTAAGCAAACAAAGTGAATAAACACTCATTACATTACTATTGTTTATATACATGTAGGTTTGATGATGATATACCAATGCAAGCCTGTGAACCATATGGTATTCACAAGACTGAAGATGTTGCAAAAGAGGCCGCAGTATATGAGTGTCCTGATGTCAATGTTAATGAAACTGCTATTTATGAGGAAACATAACTTATGAAACAGTAAAAACTAACAGTGGAATTTAATATAGATGTACACTGTGTGATACAACAGTATACTGCTCATGTGCTTGTTTGTTCATCTTGTAGCTGGAAAGTCTGACATAAATATATACAAATACATACATACTTTTCTAAATATAGATTTCAGTTCTGGAGTGTGACTGTATTCATACTGCTCATGGCTAGTCTATTATATTGTATATTACAATTTGTAATCACATTAGTGTTATTGTAACTACTTTCAGTGTCCAGTTAGTCAAATTTTTGCAGTGTTTGTTATTTATTTTATTGATGCTATCTAATCAATGAACTTTATATAGTATGGTGTCATGTTATTAAAAGGTTCAAACTGAAACTAAGGAGATTCTTTGAAGACACAACAACAGAAATTGCTATATGAAGGAAATGCCTCACACTAGTCTGAACTTTTAAGTTATAAATATCTTCATGTGCAATAAAATTTCACACACTCAATGCTTGCTAGTTGTCACATGTGTAAACCTAATTTTAATTTGCTTTCAAAAATTAACTCATTTCCTTGTGAGGTTCGACTACTTTTCTTTAAAATTATAAAGAAGATACACATGTACAAAATAAAACAACCTCATTAACCTGCTTTAATCTATGATAATAATAATAATAATAATAATAGCAACAACAACAATGCAAAAATAAAGATACAATAACAAAAAACAAGATACAAGGTCAAAAATATTCAAAAACAAAAAGGAATGTATTATTAAAGACAATGCTAGTGAGTCCTACACATAATAATGTATGTACTTTATGCTCCCTAAAATGCAGTGAGAAGAGATTGTCTGTTGGTTTATTATAAGTAAAAACATGCACTGTCACTACTACTGTATGTCCTATAGTTTGTCTATTATAATATTGTGTGCATAAATGTCATGTGATCATCATGTGCTGAGTGGCTTGATCTGTGGGTGGGTAAGTATCTCTTAGTGAGGTGGTCAGGGTTGGTGTATCAACCTTAGTGAGGTGTTGGTGTTGGTGTATAATATTTATGCTGCCATCTAGTCTGGACATAACTGTCTTGAATTATCCAATTAGACAATTATTTGTGTTACTATTGTTATAGCCATGCCTTATGCTAACATTTGGCAGAGCCACTGCAGAATACTGGTGATTGCATTTTTGAGCAGAGCAGGCAACCCTGGCATTCCATCATGATAATCTCAGTTTCATAGTTTTCCTCCTCAATATGTACATGCATAATGTACACTACAGACTCTTAACACTACACAGCAAACCTAAAATCTATTTGCACCAAATGGTCTCTCTTGTATAAGTTGTAATGGTAAATCCCTTTAACATCATGTAGTATTGTTGCTGCTATTGTTACTTACATCATGTAGTCACGTACACACAGGGAGTGGGCCACACTACACTCAGTACACTGTAAATCTATTTAAAACTATCTGCTGCGCTATCACAACAGTTTCACATGATTTAATAAACACACCCACAGACATTTCTTTGATCAACAATGCTTTCCCTACAAGTGGTTGTCTTCTTGTTGAGTGTCAGTGAAGTTATTAGTCAATGTCCACCTTCCTCAGGTAAGACACTGGATCATGTGTAATAACAACTGTATAAGTTTTATAGGTATCTACCTGAGGCATGATGGAATCTGTTATCCTAATGGATCATATTTTCCAGATCCTAGAATCAGACCAACTCCTCTAGAGTGTGGATTACCTGGTGCCACTCTGAATGGTGGACAATGGATTGGTCCTAATGGAGTAGTTCCTTGTGACAGTGGTAACAATGAAAATGTTCGATGTACTACTGGGTCAGGTGCTAGTCTCAGTGTTTTCATAAACCCACCAAGCTTTCTTGGGGCACCTGGTGATGGCCAGTATATGTGTTGTCTACCCACTAGTTGTTCAACTCCTGGTACTAACATCATCACTGCTACTATATTCAGTAAGAGGAGACTATAATCACTTACTGATTAATAATTTTCATTTGTAGGATTTGCAGAGATAGAATCATTTACTGTTGCTGATCTTCCTTCTGATATGACAGTATATCCTCAGGAATACAAACTGAATTGTACTAAAATTGGACACTATGGTTATGATATTAGTATGAGCATTGGTAGTACTGCACTGGTTGATTACACTAGTTGTGATGATAGATCTAGTAATAATTGTCCTAGTGGTATTGATTTAAGTGGCCCTGTTGATAACACAGTAAGATATACTGTTGATATCACATGGGATGGAATGAATGTCAGTAGTGGGTCAATCAGTCAATCAACCACTGGAGATCAAATGTATCAGTGTAGGTTAGCAGATTATCCTGATGGTAATCATATTAGAATACGTAATGTAACTATAAAAGGTAATGTCAATGACTTCAAATAATTTTGATACCAATAATATTAGTACCAGCAACTGCTCCCTCTTCTCTTACTGAGGTCAGCAAGACAGCTACCACTATCACTGTCAGTTGGACTGCACTTGATTCATCTGATGCTGATGGATATGTAGTCAATGTCACTAGTGACACAGACACTGTGCAGACAGTACAGGTGGAGGGAAGTAGTAATAATACAATCACACTGAATGGACTGAGTGTACTAACAACTTATAGCATCACAGTCAGAGGTTATCAACAATTACTGGGACCTGCTAGTAGAATCAATGTCTTCACTCATTGTCAGCAAGAAGGTATTTGATTTTTTAAATCATAATACATGTAATTAAATATTGATTTATACATGTAGGTATCTACTTAGGAAATAATGGAAACTGTTATCCTAATGGATCATATTTTTGGGATAATACTGTCAATGCAGTTACTGAAGCTATATCATGTGTGTTACCTGGTACTAGTCTAACTACTGGTCAGTGGGTTAGAGTTGCTGATCCTGATGATCCTGTTGACTGTAACAGTGATAGTGCCAGTGATCCTTTTCGTTGTACTAATGTCACTTCACCTGATGCTACTCTTAATCTTTATCTTGCTCAGGGACTAATAATAACTACAGAAGGCTGGTACAAGTGTTGTCTACCCACTGATTGTTCAGATCCTAACACTAACATCATTTTTGCTAATATATTCAGTAAAAGGAGACTATAATCACTTACTGATGTAATCATTTTCATTTGTAGGATTTGCACAGATAGAATCATTTACTGTTACTGATCTTCCTTCTGATATGACAGTATATCCTCAGGAATACAAACTGAATTGTACTAAAATTGGACACCATGGGTATGATATTAGTATGAGCATTGGTAGTACTGCACTGGCTAGTTACACTAATTGTAATGATGATAGTAATACTAATCCTTGTTCTGGTACTATGTTAGTTAGTAGTACCAACACAGTAAGATATACTGTTACTATCACATGGGATGGAATGACTGTCAGTAGTGGATCAGTCAGTCAATCAACCACTGGAGATCAAATGTATCAGTGTGTACTGGAAGTTAATGATCAACCAAGTAGAACACATAATGTAACTATAAAAGGTAACATAATATGTTTGACTTTTAAAATACTATATCTTATTATTAGTTCCAGCAACTGCTCCCCCTTCTCTTACTAAGATCAACAAGACAGCTACCACTATCACTGTCAGTTGGACTGCACTTGATTCATCTGATGCTGATGGATATGTAGTCAATATCACTAGTGACACAGACACTGTGCAGACAGTACAGGTGGAGGGAAATAGTAATAACGCAATCACACTGAATGGACTGAGAGGAGGAACAACTTATAGCATCACAGTCAGAGCCTATCAACAATTACTGGGACCTGCTAGTACAATCAGTGTACAGACCTTACCAGGTATTGCTACTGCACCTTT